GGAAAGCAACTGTTTTCCCTTCCCCATCTCTCCTGTCCTAGTCTGGGTATGAGCAGAGCCAAGGTACAGCTCCTCTGACAGGTAGCCCTGAATCCTCCCTGCACTGCATTCAGGAGCTGAACAGAGTGCTCGCAGCAGAGCATGGTCAGGGCAGGGACAGGGAGATGCTCTCCTCCCTTCAGAAAGTGAATGGGATGACTCCCACACCTGCTCCCAATGGCCTTTCCTAAGGCTGGCTCATTAAATCCCTGCCATCCCTGCTGCCGCTGCTGGATGGAAGCTGGGTGGCAGAGGTCTGCCACCTCTGGATGCTGGGATCCAAGAGGTCGGTGGCAGAGGTAAGGCTGGGATGCTGGAGTAGCTCAAGCAGTGGTTGCAGCAAGAGGGATTTTCTGTGCAGTGAGCAGCCACCAAACCTAACCCCTTGCCAGCACCAGGAGCCAGACACAAGCTAAAAGGAGAACGTAGGCTTAGTGAACATATTCTCTTGTAGCTCCTTCAGCATCATCAAAAGCAGGGGGCTAAAACATCTCCTTCTTCAAACTCATTTTTCCCTTACTGCAGGCAGGCTTCAAACTCTGAATACAGTGTGTCCTGCTATTCCTTCTCCTCATCCAAGCTTGGCACATGTAATAAGCACACTTATTTTACCCTTCCATGGTACCTTTGAATGTCCCCATTTTGGAGCCCACATTCCCCCTACATAGGGAGGAAAGCCACCTCTGCCTGTATTGGGAGTCTACGTTGTTTCTCTTAATCTAAAATAAGTTCTCTGTACTTGTGTTCAGGAGGAACTACAAGAGAAATTTAGGAGCAGGAGCAGAAAGAGAAAGAGTGCCTGGCTTCACTGCTATTCCCCACATCCTTCACAGGTCACAGCATCTATCTGAAGTACCGCACACTTTCTCAGAGAGGGATCTAGAAGGCTGCTGCCCTAGACTAGAGGAGTTTCTGAACATCCAAATCCATTGAAAGTTGCAGGGATTTCCAGCCTCTTTCAGTCAACTTTTAGATACCCCAAGCCTTTCCAGCACCAAAACACTGACTTCTGCCTTTGTGAGCAGCCACTGTGTACACACACCAAAGGAGAACAATCATAAGCCACATCCCTGCAACCCAGCTAGGCTGTGCCAGTGCAAGCAAATGTTGGTTCCAGCACTATGGTGTATCCTGCAGTGGCAGAAAGGACTCTTTGACCTGATTGAGTATTCAGTTGGATCTTTCCCCATTTTGGCTTTGGAGTTAAGCCTGCAGTAAGAAGTTAGTGTTACTTAATACAGAAGAAGAGATGTTATCTCAGTGAGAAGTAAGGCACCGCAGGTTGTTCAACAAACCACATGCGGTTGCCAAGCTCATGGTCCCACCTGGCCTTGCTCTTGGTGACTGTCACGCCAACAGGCCACCTCAGACCCAGCTCTCATGTGACTGACTACAGCCAATTCCTCTGGCTCAGTCATTTCTCCCATTCAGGGCCACACTCAAACTAGGTGAATAACAAATTGTGCGTGGACTAGGTGAAAATCTGCAGAATTGTCCTTGTGCCAAGTGCGTCAGGTGGAAGATGCTAAAAATAATAATCCTTCACAGTCACACCAGCACAAAGGAGCACTAAGAGTCCAGGCAAGCCCCAGGACCTGCCTGAAGCTAAGCCTTGGATAAAACTTTCAGAGCATGGCCACCTTCCTGGGAGCAAACTTCTCCTTACTAGGTGCAATATGAGCCACCTTCTGTCCCTCTGGTAACCACAAAAGTAACTGCATTGAAAAGGATTCAAAAGAGACTATTTCTATTAAAAACTATCATCTTATTTCCAAAGAGATGCACTCATGTTACACTAAATATCCTAAGCAGAAAGCCTGCCTACCATCTTGAGCTAAAAAAAGCCATACTTTGTAGCTGAAAATTGCTACCAGCCCATGGCCCTTGGGTGCCATGTGCAGCAATGCGTAACATGCACCAGCAACTGCTTAGCCTTTATTATTGACTTCTGACCCCGAGGGCAGTTTCCATTTCTTGTCCACTTTCTCTGCTTTAGAAGCAGCCCATACTGGAGGCAGCAGGGCTGGTGCTGCTATAGTTTCCCTGCCATTTACTTCTGTGCAAGAGCAAAGCCTGGGGGCAGCAAGCACCAGGGGAACACCACAGCCCCATCCTTTAGCGGGAACCACTCGTCTACTTCAGGGAGCAAAACAACTTGTGGGCTCTGTGCATCTTATGTAGAGGACAAAATTAACCCTTAAATTGTCCTTAGGGAATCCACCATTCTCACTGTGAAAAACAGGTGAGACGATGCAGAAGAGAATCAGCAGGCTTCACGTTTGGCAGTGTCTGCAAATGAAACCATATTTTAAAGTGTCTCTGAAAGGGACAACAATGAGAGTCTTCAGAGGGAAGAGAAGTTTCCAGGTGACAGCCAGAAGGTGGAGACGGTGGAAGAACAGCCACAGGCTTTTCAGAGCCCATCTAGCTGTTCTGCAACCTCTGAAGAGAAATCTTAGAAGTGCAAACCATCTATGTCATCCCTCAGACACAAGGGAACAATTTAGTGAAGTCTCCTCAGTGGAGAGAGTTCTCATCTCATTCCCAGTTTTCCCAGTAGGAGAAAGCGATTAGACCTAGGATCAGTAGTGAAGGTTCTTTGAACAGAGGTGGGCTGCTCCCTAAGCCAACCTGTTACTGCTCTGCATGACAAATGCACAGATAACACTGAAATCAGTAATTCTGTGTCCTTTCAAACAATATAAGGAAAGAGTCAATTAAGATGCTATGGCACGTAGAGCCAGCTCTGTGCTGACTGCCAGGGGGCTTACACATGGTAGATTCCTCCCACAGGACTAGAATTTGCAGCAAGGAAGGGCTGATGGCAAGCACCTTGCCACAGGGCATGCCTTGCTGGTTACACAGAGAGCTTCTCACTGGCTTCAGGGAAGCAAGTGGGAGATTTCTTCTTTGGATCTCATACATCCTGGCTTTAACTTTATATACATTTTAAAGGTGGAAGTGGGTAGCAAGGGTGAAAGCCTTTTACATACAGCCAGTCCTTTTGAGAGGTGATGTTCAGCAGTTAACAACTCAGTGAAGCAGAGGAAGTGCACTGGCAGTAAATGAGAGTGTCACAATTATTTGTCTCAACTCCTGCAGAGGCAGTTTAACATCATTTCAGTGACAGTGTATCAAGAACACACAGGAATTCGCTCTAGTGTTAGTGTAACTTTTATTTATTTATTGCTGTCAATATGCACAGTAAAGGTAGACCCGATGTGGCTACCTCCCAAGTACAATACTTCTGTAAAGTGTGATATTGTGGCTTTTGATGGTAATAGATCAAAGGTGCTGCCTTCGCAAGCCACAGGGTGATTCTCCTAACTGCCTGAATTACAGATACGCTCCCAGACTGTCATTTTTTTCTGTCACTTACAGCATTACATAATATAGACCTTGTAGCTGGAAAATAGCCAGAGATGATGTGAAGACAGTGTAAAGGGGAAAACCAGCTCTGTATTCCTTTCTTACAGCCCTTCAGCCTTGCAGGAGCAAGAATTTATTCGTGGCTTTCTGGCACACAAGCACAAGTGGAAAAAACACAGAAGGATGAGGTGTGCTAAGGAGGGATGCTAATTCTCTTTTCCTATCACATCACCTGTCATCACAAAAATGTCAGCCTTCAGTGCTGGACCCTCCGATTGTATAAAACTTCCCATTGCCTGGCAGAAGGATAGAGGTCAGTAACTGCCTGAAATGGAAAGTACAGGCTGTACCTTCAATGCTTTTCCTCTGGTCACACCCGAGTGACTCCCTCCAGGAGCATCACAACCCCCCAGTACGCTCCACCCAGCATTAATGCCTCTCCTCTGGCGTATTGTTTGTTCCTTTGTTTCCCAACTTATACCATGAGGATAGCAGGGTCACTTTGAGCATGTGTGTCGTGTGCTGTAAGCGCCAGGCAGGGCTGTTGTTATAGCATGGGTAATTGTTACCCAGCTGCTTGCTTAAAATAGGTGGGAGAGGTTTCAGGTTTCCACAACAGAGTGATTCCTCTCCTGTAACATACAAGATGACCACATACAGGGCAAATCCTCCCCTGCAATAACCCCATGGTGAGCACTTGGGAGGGGATGGAGGCCAGCCAGAAGCCCATCTCTGAACAGGCTGTCCACAGCACTTTTCCCAAACCATCCTTGACTTGCCAGAGGTCCCAGTTTGTCCAAGATGACCTGGATTGCAATTAAGAGGGCTGGCAGAGAACATTACAAAGCCTTGGACACGGGCTATTCACTGCAGCACACACAGAGATGATTTTCCCCACCTCTGCAGCCCTGACAGCTTGCTGCTAGCAATGTTTAATTCTCCAAGTGGTAGTGGGTTTTGTTGCTGGACACTCCTCACCCACCTGTCCTCCAGCTGGTTTTACAGAGGTGATAAGAAGGCCATCACATCTGAGTCAGTCTCCTCTGCACTGAATCTGCCTATAGGTAACACCACATAGCTCTGCTTCTCCTTCTGCCATGACACAGCCAGATGTCCCAATGCAAAAAAAGTGCAAAGGTGGCCCCAGGATGTTCAGCTCACAGTCAGCACAATGCAACCCTCCCTCCAGCTTGCATCAATGCCACTGAGTTACCTATAAGCTCTTCTCTGCATATGATCCTCCTTGGAGCCAAATCCACAGCATCCTCAGAGTTGTCTTCACCTTGTGCTGCTACCGTTTGCTTGAAATGATGTAGCATCAAGAGACTGCCCCGTGTTTGATGTTATTGCCCATGCTTGGGAGGCTGGGACTGCTGTGGGCTTCAGGAAATGTGCCAGGAAACATGCCCCACCAAAGTGCTGATGACTGGGGGCATGCAGTGAGCTGTTTCCTAGAGGGGATCAGGCAGAAGAGGGTAAGCTGTGTCCGACTGGGGAGGTTACACTAGCTGGAGCATAGGCTGATAAAGTGCTTTTGCAGAAGCACTTGTGTTTGACAGACAGGCTAGACAGGAAAGGAAAGAAGAGGCACCTCCTGGTTCTCTTTAACACCAGCCATTGTATCTTAGCAAAACGTGGCTTAACATAAGCAGCTGAAGCAAATAGATCTGGAATGATCAGCAGAGAAGGTCTGCCAGGCTACAGGGAGCATTCAAACTAAAGCAAAGCCACTAACTGAAGGAATTGCCTACACACAACTTTCCCCCACTTTCCCTGCCAAAGGGCAGTTATCCCTTCTGACCCTAGTGCCTGATGGCATAACTTTTGTGGAGCTGAATGCAAATGGAGATCAAAAGCCCCTTCCCAATAAAAGTCACTTTTCATCCCCCGAAGCAGAATCCTTTTGTGACCTCATGATTTGATAGAGAGTTTCCCTGAAGTGCTGGTCCCGGCTCAGTCTTTTGGCTGCTTCTTTCAGTTCCTCAATGTTTTCAGCTTCTGTGCATGAGAAGATGAAGGACTGGGACTGCTTCACTAAAACAAGAACAGCACAGAAAGGTCAGCACTCTCTATCAGGGACACAAACTGAAGACCAAGCTTCATTAGAGCACACAACCCATGCTAGCAACATGACTGAGACCCTGGCAAGGGACAAGCTAACCATTGCACTCTAACAGCTTCACCTTACAGTTTTCAGAGGAGGCACATACTGACAGCATGGAAATACACTTATTTACAGCTGCCTCTGATTTAGGGTTCTACATAGGAACTGATTTAACCTTGCAGGTAGCCACTCTAAGCACTGGATCAGACTCAACAATGTCTAGGTGTCCCTTCCAATCTAACTCAGTCTATGATTAAGCATTCAGATGAAGTTAGCTTTGAGCATATGGGTTTTTTAATGTGTCCTGGACCACCACAGCCATTACCTTTCAACATACATGAAGAGACAGGCAACCAACACACAGACTCAGTGCCTGTTCTCTGGGTAAAGAAGCTTTAAGTTTCTCTGTAGCTCATTCCACTATTAGGGAATATGAAATACGAACCACGTTTTCAGACCTTACTGCTCTGTCAGCACCAGCTGCACATATCTGCTCCTGTAGGATATAGAGTGAGAAGCTGCCTGATACCTACAGTCATTCCACGAAGCACTGGATCTCCGGCGGTGGAAGCGGCAGCTCTTTATGCGACGAGTGGCAGCCTTGTGGATGTACACAGAGTTCTTCATGATCATGGGCATCTTGGCCTCCAGCTCAGCATTGCGGATGCATTCTTCAAAGAACTCTGAGGAGAAGACACCACTGTGAGCAGTGACAGAAGAGACACTTCAAGCAATGAACCAGTCACAAGGAACTGCACTTGCTGATGGGCTGAGCCAAGTAATGACATCCAACACCTCTCTAGATCTTCACCAACAACAATCCATAAAGCACCAGAATATCATCAAGAATGAACAAGTTCAAAGCAAGAAAAACCTCCAGTTCCCCAAAAAATGCATATTCAAATTACAGAAAGAACTGCAACTATCCATTCCCCAGCAATCATTCCAGCAGCTGCTCATGATTCATCTGCCAAAAACAGTTGATATTACAATAAAACTTCTCAACTGTCTTGCAACAGAGGGGTCTGAAGCCTTGCTCATCATGTTTTGTTTGAAGGACTTCTAAAACCACTCAAGTCTAACTGTGGAAAGGGAGATGTTGACAACACTGACATGGGCACATACACCCAGGCCATACATGGCCAAGGATTTCTTAATAGCATAGCAAATACTAGCACATACACACACATTACAGGCTCCATGCAAAGCCCCATGTCCAAACTCTAACAACGTTATTCTGTCCTGATCTGCCAAACAAGCTCATTTTCCTGGTCCATATCTTCTCTTATTGTCTAACCGGCTTATCTTCTGCCATTCCAGTCTTACTGTCTTCCTGCCTGTCACTGATCCCTTGCTGCTCAGAGAGCTCACGTGCTAACACACTCCAGCTCTTACACAAAAGGGCAGAAATGCGGGAATCACTTGGAAGGGCTGAGGCAATCTGTGCTGGAATGACGTTAAAGAAAACATTGCTGGTCCCTCACTTTCTCAAATGTTTTGCTCATCAGTACCTTTTTACTCTTTTGAAGAAAACATGCCCCCAAAATCTAAGATTGGAAATGGGTGTCAGAAGACATTCAATGCAAGAGGTTACTCACTTATGCCCTGTGCAGGTACCTCAGCTCTAGTTGAATGCTGAGCTAAATACATTCACCTTAGCTCTATTTTCTTACCCTGGCTCTGAGCCAGTGGGATGAAGTTCAGAATCATGCCCTTTTGTCTCAGTTTAGGAATCTAATGTAGAAACTACTGACTAATACTTATTGATGCATATTTTTATATATAAATTATAAATATGTGCATATATACAAAAAGTATTTATACATGTATTTATACTCATATATGTAAGAGTGCTCAGAATGCCACAGGACTTTTCACTTTTCTATATTGGCCCAGTACATACACCTTTCACTGAAATTAAGTCTTAACTCACTTGAGGATGGAAAAAAAGCAAGCTTCACCCAAGTGGAGCTGCTAATGTCAATTCGCAAACCTGACTCAAGTCAGATGATAGGGTAATGCCCCACTTACCAAAAAAAAAAAAAAAAAAGAGAAGGGGATGGAGGTGGCAAAGAAACAGGGATAAGCTCTGAGAAACCTGAGATTTACACCTGACTTGTGGACTGATGTAGTAATTCAGCTCTAAGGATCCAAACTTCACCTGCTGGGTAACCTTCCAGCACATTGCTACAGCAACCATGCTGCTCCTTAAACTGCTGATGTTCTTGTAAGCAAGGCTGAGAAAAGATTACCTTGCAGGGAATCAGGACTCTTTATAACTCAGATCTAGCAAGTCTTTACAGCTCTGCCACAGCTTCCCTGTTTGCCATTTGGGAAAGCATTTGCTCACCTCTGCCCTTGGGCTTGTCTTCCACCCAACAGGGAAGGCTGGGTTAATTTTTACCTCCTTTGAGGGCAAAACATCAAGTGCCTGCATAGTACATTCTGGCTTCTCAAAGGGGAGATGTAGTTGAGGTATGAGGAGTTGGGAGAGCACCTTATGTGCAGCTTTGCTAATTTGGGAACTTCTTTTTGTGTCTGGGAAGAAAGGTAGAAATATTTCCTCTCTCAGAGCTTGCCTATCAGTAAAGAGCATGGATGATTGACTTACTTCTCAAGTTACTGACGTCTGCTTTCATCTTCTCCTCTTTCTCCTTGTTGCAATCCAGAGAATTTAAGCCTTGCTCCAAGCTCTGCAATGCTTCCTCAGCTTCTCTCAGTCTCTTCTCCAGGTCCATGCGCACCTTCACCTCAGCCTGATGAAGAGAATAAGCATTGCTGAAGAACAGCTTGCATCTCAATCACCATCCTGTTAACTCACAAGGTCTGAGAGGGACTCGCCAAACAGATGAAAATTAAAAGACAACATTAGGAAAACCAAAAGAAGTACTCCAAGACAACATAAAAGTTGTTATTTGTGTCTTCAGACAGAATCTCAATTTAAAGTCCAGATTATTTTAGTAATTCTCCTTTACTCTGACTTTCATTTTCACAGCTTCCCTCTCACCATATGAGCCACATGAAATCAGAGACTGTATTTCAACACGTGAATTTGTGCTTATGCAAGTATTTGCAGCTGTGAAGGAACAGGGGGACATCTTTCCAGCTAAGATGAACTTAACATAAAGGCAATCAGTTCCCACAAAGGGCCGTACAGTACTTAGTTTCAGAAACAAAACACAAGAAAAGTTAGAAATAAAGGATAATATCCAGCTTAGCAAATGAGAATAACTGATACAGCTTAGGTCAACTTAGCTTTAGTTTGGCCAAGTAAAAGATTACAGGGTAAGAAAATGCTGGTGCAGGAAAAAGAAGAATTGGGGGGTTTTTTGGACAAAATATTTGTAGAAGGAGGTTGAGTATCAAATAGCCAATAATAAGCATAACCTTTACTTTATTTAGACTAAAATAAAACAGCATGCTTTGTACAATTACCTTCACATAGATTAAGGAATCTTCCATTATTGGGATAACAAAGGAGGGCTGGTACCTCACCTGCATTCCTCTGCTTTTGAGCCCAAGTTAATGCAGAGGTTTCTGAAGATTTACAAATCTTAAGATTGATTCTCTGAGCACAAGGTAGGAGGGAAGATTTCTTCTCAGTTCTGCAATGTCCATATTAGCATTTCTTTGAAATAATCTTTATTCTTGATTGTGTCTCCTTTCCTCTTTTTACTTTTTTTCCTCTCTCCATCTTTAGATGATGCTTTCACAGTAGCAAAGGAAAAGACTTTTACTGAATGGGTTAATCAGGCCTCAGAATGAGAAAATAAAGAGTAGTGCTGCATAGACAAAACACGGCAACTTCACGTTACCATGAGACGAAGAATAGCAAATGAAGATTTGAGACCAGAAAATGAAATAAAATAAAACCAAGTCTCCCACTTGATAGGGGATGAACTGAAAGGGAAAATGAGAGAACTCAGGGCCCGTGGACAGCAATATGCAACATACTCAGGGGATACCTTGAGGTCTCTCTCTGCCTGCTGCTTCTCCGCAGTCAACTCCGAGAGTGAGTTCTGCAGTGCTTGAGACTGGGACGAGTAAAACTCCCGCTCCTCCTCCAGTGCTCGGGACCGCTCCTCATTCTCCTTCATCCTGGCACATGGCACAGCAAAGGCAGATGACCATTCCCACCCCAGCACAACTCACAGGAAGGAAGAGGCTCCGTATCATGATGGGGCATGCTTAACTACCCAGCTGCCCTGAGCAGAGCTGCCAACAGGAGCGCTGTCTGCGTTTCACTTCAATAACACAGGCATTGCTGCAGAAAGCCAGGCAAACAGTTATTGAATGGAACATTCTCAACCCCCAGACAAGGTCCAGGAGCACCAAACACTTCTTATGGATAAGTCCGCAAACACCAAATGGATGCACATGCCTACATCCTGACTCAAAAGGCTCCAGACCCAGGTGGCAACAAGGTGCTCAGCTGCCCTGCCTCCCTCTGTCCCCTCTGAAGTGTTTACAACCTGAACTCCTGCCACGGGAACCAGACAAACTTCCAGACTTGTCTTGTGTTGGCAACCAAAAAGCAAGTCAGCAGATAGCCACATCATTTGGCACCACTAAGCCTGAACAGGGCAGAAATGTCCTCTTCCCCTTACCGCACCCAAGAATTGAAATTGTAAAGGATCTTGCCTCTCTACAGGTCTCAGGGTAAGCAGGGGAACAGTTTTGAAATGATAATTTTAAGCTTAGAAATATTTAGCCATACGCTTTCTGATTGCCTCCGACCTGCAAGAGGGAAAACTACTTCATTTCCCACCATCCTCTTCACACTGTGTCGCATCTTATCCCACATCCCTGTCCCTGGCACCAGCGTAAGAGTCCCTGCCCCCACCTCACCTCTTCTCTGCCAGGAGTTTCTCCTCCAGAAGTTGCTGCATCTTTTCTTCAATCTGTTGTAGGCTGCAGTGTAGTCCCCAGATGGGGCTTAGCTCCTTGCTGGGGCTGGTTGGAGGTGGGAGCTGGCTCTCATTTTCTTCCAGCATCTCCAGCATTTGCTGCTTTTCCAGTGAAAGCTCCTTGAAGAGGTGCAGAGATTGTCAGTATCAGCAAAGTCTAACATTTCTGCTCCTGTTACTGCCTGGCTCCTCCCTGTCGAGTCTCTCCATCCTTACCCCCACTTTCCTCATTCAGGTTAAAAATCAGAGTATCAAAACGTGGTTTCCTCTTCCCACCTGCCTCTTCAGGAGCAAGCCTCCACCATAACCTTCACTATGCAAGGGGGCGAGGACCTGGAGGCTCCTTTGACACGATACACTGGCAAGGACCCAGCTCAGGGACTGCAGCCTTGTGCTTCTCTAGTGTACCACCAGCATGGGCACCTCCCTGCCCTCCCTCCTCACCTTGCTCCTCAGAGTGAACTGAAGGCACCCCCTTTGTGGTACTTCTAACTACGAGGTGGTAGGACATACCACACTGTTTTCTTGTGAAGTGTGGTGTGCAACTGGGGCATGAACACTCCTTCCCTACCTTTCCAGTTATTTTTTCATACCCATAACTGTGGGCAAGGAGAAGAGTTCAATGGAACATCAGTGTAGGGGTTTCACTCCTTTGGCTTGCAGCCAAATACAGTCACTCTCTCACTCTTCCCCCTCAGGGAGTAAGGGAGAGAATTGGAAGGGTAAAAGAAAGAAAACTCATGGGTTGAGATAAAAGCAATTTACTAATTAAAATAAAAGAATAATAAGAGTAATAATAGAATATGCAAATGAGTGATGCACAGCGCAGTTGCTCACCGCCCACCGACCGATGCCCAGCCTGTCCCCAACCAGTGATCCCAAAGCAGAGACAGTCCCAAAACCAAAACAGCAATCCTGGAAGAACAAGCCTGAGTGATCCCTGTGAGAATACCCCTGCTTTCTGGTCAACCCTGGTTAATACACTGGATATTATATGATACGGAGTATCTCACTGGCACATCCAGATGCCAATTTTGGGTTTTGCTAATTACTACGCTTCCCCTCTCCCAGTCCTTTGCACCTGCAAACTAGCCAAACACAATGACCTCGGGCCAGCAGCAACTAATAATATTAGTACCTTATCGACATTCTTCTCATAACAAATTCCACACTGAAATTAAAACACAGCTATTCTAGCTACTAAGAAGAAAATTCACTCCATCCTAGCAAAACCAGGACAATCAGTAACAGATTTTTGGACAAACTTGCAGGATCTGACATAAAATTAAGGATGACATTGGGCTTCAGTAGGTCAGCTGTATGGAAATTTCACAAATGAAATGCATTTAGAAAAGCCCCTTTCCACCAAGCCACCAGAGTGATACCAAGTACAGAAAGGGTTTAATACATCAGCACTCCATTTCCTAAATTCTCATGTGGCACATGATTCCCTTCTGTGAACAAGGAAGGCCTCTCTGCCACTCCAATTTCCACCAGGACTTAGGGAGTTGCATTTAGAGGGAAAAAAATGAAAAATAAAAAAAAAAATCAGAAAGTTATCACAGATTTATAGCCATGTTGGCTGGAAAGGACCTCTGGTAAGCTCTAGTCCAGCCTCCTGTTCAAAGCTGGTCTGTCAACACAGCAAGATACGGTCAGCTGTGGCTTTCTACAGTTGAGATGTGAAAACCTTCCAGGATGGAGGTTCCTTGGCCTCTCCCACTGCCTGCCTGCTGAAAAGTCTCTCCCTTGTGTTCAACCTGAGCTTTCCAAACTTATGGTTATTGCCCTATGTCACATCACTTGGTACTGCTGAGAAAAGTTCAGTTCTGCTAGGCTCCATGTCACTTCTAGTCCTTTTCTACAGGGGATTTTGGCCTTCATATCAGCTACCAAATAAACCTGTTCATCCACACAGGACTTAACTCAAGCACTAGCAGATGCTAGATTCATTCCACGGAACAGAATTGCTTTCAGCCCTGGTCACTTCTCCTGGATCGTTCCCAAAATGCTGTCACTCAGAGGGGAGAAGTGGTCACTCACCTCTAGGGTCTTCTGTAAGGACTGTCTCAGGCTTCGCAACTCTTTCTTTTCTTCCTCCACTCCTTTAAGGGAGTGGGCTGTGAGCTCTAGCTCCCTAAAGAAGCAAAAAGAATGATAGCTATTGCGGGGGAACACCAGCCCCACAGACTGTGCTCAGACCGCACAGGCTGTGGATCTCGTAGTGCAGAACCAGTGGCCGGTGGTTGGTACAGGCAGTCCTGGAAAGTCAGGGGCTTGCCAGAAAGCATCACACCTTGAACACACTATGGGCATCCAAGAACTTTACTGTGCCTCCTGATCGTCAAACCAAAGCCAACTGTTACCATGCTTCTCTAGCAGGGGCAAGGCTACGGTTGCAACTTGAAAAGCTCAGACAGGGCAGGCATATCTAAGCAGATGTAGGTCTATGAAAACAAAAATGGTTTGCAAAAATCACACCGTCTTTTCTGAGATGTTATTTATGGTGGGAAAAGGGGGGAAAAAAAAAAAGAGGTCAATGCCAAAACATGCTATTTCAACACTTGGGGCAAAGCACTTGGATCCTTCCCTTTCTAAATACATTTACTGTTCATATTTTGCACAGCATAACTCTTAAAATTACAAAATTATTCTTGGTGAGGCAAATTTGTCACCCACCCAGTGTCATTCAGCTGATGGTGGAAAACCAGGTTCTGATGTCTGGCAGCCATGTGGCTGGTCAGTCAACCAAACAAGTTGTCTCTCTGAAATCCTCTAGCACCTGCCCATCGGCATGCTACCCCGACTAATCTGGGGTTTGCTCATGTCCCAGCCCTTTGAAAGCAAGGTTGCTGGAGTCCAGGACACAAAATGAAACTAAGCTGTATTTTATTGTTCACACAAGTGATAGCAAATGCAGGTAAACAGATCTCAACCATTCCTGTTTTGGTCAATATAGCATTTATCTCCTCCCTACATGCACAAAATGGGTGGATTTTACAAACTGTTTTGATTCACCACCACAGCAGCACTTCTGCCCAGTGTGGGAGTTTGTGTCCTGTCGCTGCCCTGGGCAGTTTGCTGTCTTACTGTCTGATCTGTTCCTGCTCCAGCCGCAGCTCCCGTACCACCTCTTCAAACTGATGCTTCTCTGCTTCCAGGACCTGGTTCAGACGCTCAAGTTCCTGGACCAAAAGAGAAGACAGGAATGTACTCTGCTGACACACGTAGGAAAAGCTTCCCTGTTAAAAATGCCTGGGACTTTCAACCTGAGCTACATAGAGCCACAGGGTGGCTGATTCCTCCACACTTCTGTCCAGGGGCAATTAGATAGGATTGAAGGTTGGTTGAGGATTTCCAGACATCCAGAAGTCTCAGCTAGATTATCAGGCACCTGGAAATTCCAGACATGCTCCCTGCACAGATCAGCTCTGCTGCACATCTACAGGAGGTCCAAAGCTCCCTGGGAAAGCTGGACTCAACATGCAGGTACCATCTCCAGGCACCTCCATGTGCAAGTACAGAAAGCCTGGGCACTGCTGTGCCTCAAGCGTGGTATTTCTATTAGCTCAGTCTGGTTTCCCATCCCCACTAGAACAGGAAAAAATGAACTGCACAGTTACAGCTTTGCAGTTTAATCAGCCTGTCATTACCTTTGTGCTAATGAAACCATGCTCTAAGAGCACTGAAAACCACAAGCTATCTTCAAGCAGTGAAACAGTCTCTTCCCCTACCCTAGAGGAAGCAGTTGTACCGAGATCTGCTGCAGATGGAGGGAGGCAGGGACAAAGTACAGTGAGAATCCCACTCCCAGTCAGGTCCCCATGCTATGAGATAAGTAGATATGCTGCCTTAGCTGCTAGGCAGCACTCCTGCTGCAGACCCAGGCAGGTCACAAAACAGCATTGATGCTGGATAAATTCAAAATAAGACTCTTGCTCCATGGTGAAGATGTATGGTTCGAGCTGCTTTCCCGACATATTGCTCTGAAGTTTTCAGGCTCACAGCAGGTCAGATCGATGCAGCTCACTGAGCTATATATCCATTTCTCCATCAGTAACAAACTGCTTCAAACTAACCTGGCCCCACCTACTCTTTGTGGGCAGTGGAGATACCATGCCTGGCTTTGTAAGAGCAGAAATTTGTTCCAGGGTCTTTAGACAAGGGCATTTCCCTCCTGATGGCTGTGGGTTGTGCAGTAGGCTATGTCACCAGAAAGGGATGTCTCCCTGCAAAGGCAGAAGTAGCTTAGTCCTAAGGGAGTGTCTAAGCTACCTCTGGACTTTAGCTCTCCAGAAATGTACATAGGGAAAACCATAGGTCTGAGAAGCCTGGGTTAGCATTGCTGTCTCTTGCTAAAGAGGGGTGACAGTCATTCTGGATTGGCTGGAAAAGAGGGTATGCAGCAGTTTGCAAGATTGCAATGTGGTGGTTTACATCCATGCAGGCTTTCCTACTGCGTAATAGGACAACCCATTTGCAAAGCTATCTTACAATAACTTTATGATGGCGCTATAAATATGGTATAGATTTGGTGTAAACATGAGAATTAGCTACTTTTATTATATTAAGCAAATACAAGCTAGGAATAGTTTGGAAAGCAATAATAAACTTGATAAATTAAGGCATAATAGTCACATCTAAGGGAGTGCTCACTTGGGCTTTCCCTAGTGCAACATTCGTTATTTTCCCCATCTCTGCTGTGTCCAAAGAACAAAAAATGTTGCTTTTTGCTGATTCTTGCTTCTCACAATGGTACCTCTACACTAGAACCATGTCAGGTCTGTTTATTTGCTTTCCAACTGGGGAGACAGACAAGTTGATTGACAGAGTCCTCTTGAATCTACAAAATAACAAGTGTTTAATTCAATCCAGTGAACGGGAATTTAATGTGATCTTCCTCCCTGGTCGTCCTGGAGACATAATCACAAGCATGCTGCATGGAAGGTGCCTGGGAAAGGGAGCAGGGAAACACCTCCAGGACCCACCCCATGGCACCATTCTTATTCCTCTCTTCATCCACAGGGCCCAGAGGTCATCTGGAGACTATTCTGGCTCTGCAGCCTCCCTCCCTGCAACCTAGTGTGCTCTCAAACCTACAACTCCCAACATCCTGGCCAGTCCTGACACATAGAAGATGAAGGGAATTGGCTTGTGATGAACACCTACCTCCTTTTGCTCCCTCTGTAGACACAGCTCTTCTGTTTCTTCCATTAGCTTATCTGCAAACACACACACACACACACAAGGCCAAATGCAGAGAAAAGCAATTTATAACCTTGGGGATATTTATGAATAAGAAACATTGACTGTTTGGAGCTCGAAAACACAGCATTCCCTATTGCTCTCTATGTATCTGTCTGGGAGGCTCTAAAGGCTGAGATGACACTAATGGGATGGTCTGTAATTTCCCTCCTGCCAAATAATTTAACAAACTAAACAACCATATTGCTGTGTACTCCTAAGGTTTCCTCTCAATATTCTTAAAGAGCATTAACAAACTAACCTTTGCAATCCTCTAGCTGAGGATTTTTCCTGAGTCAGGAAAATATCCTTATCTCGGCTTCACATGTGAGGAAGCAAAAGCACAGAAAGGTTAAGTGGGTGCACAAGGTCACACACTGCATAGCAGCCATCAGTTCTCCTCCTGCAGTTCAGTGCCTCATCCCTACCTGCCCAGCACATCACTCTCTCCTTCAGCCCCTGGGCATTCACTCCCTATTGTCACCTTAGGATGTCCCAGCCAAGCCCAGAAATCAATCCCCTAATTTAGCCACAAAACTTTTAGCTGTGAGGAATAGCTCCTCTCAACATCAGTTGTTCTTGTCTACTGAGAAGGACACATGCCCACCAGAGACTCTGCTCTGGCGCTCACATTGTGACCTGATGTACCTACCCTGTGCTTCGCTCTAGCCTTAACCAGAGGCTCTGCTCACAGGAAGCTAGACAGAAATTCATTCCTCAGTTCGCACAGTTAAGCTCAGAGTTTAGCTCTCAGCTCTGCCACCCAGCTGCTGTGTGAGCAGGCCAGATTCACCATGGCACTTTATGATTAGGTCTTCCCCATATTAGATGGGGACAATGCTACCAGTTTCCTTTGTACTGGAGATCTGAGAGATTACTGCTGCTGGCAGGATTCCTACTGCTGGGAGGAACACAGATGGCTACCTCTTGCCTGCAGCAGTGCTCCTGGTGCCAGAGCAGTAGTGTTATTTTATGAAAGCTCTGCTGACCACCACTCCTGTCTTTCCTTCCCACTCATGCCCTCTTCCTTCTTGCCAGGATCCAGCATAGCTGCACTATAATTAGACAGAGGCTTTTCCACCTACTCTCTTCTGCCCCTCCTTGGGGGGCAAGCCCAGGGCTTGATGGGCTTCTGCAAAGTTCCTGCTTGAGTCCCACCAGCCTGGTGGGAGGCAGGTGGAAGACTCCAGGAGGATACAGGTAATTCCCCAAAGCAGTGTCTGCTTCCTCCGGAGAGCCTGGACCTGCTGCCAAGAGCAGTGCCTGACCTCAAAGGATGGAGACAGATCATTGAAGGTAAAGCTAAATGAGGCAGAAGCCTCAGCAGTTATATAGTAATAAATAGACAATTGCTGTCAAAAGAAGGGAACCAACTGTGACAATTGACCAGCTCTGAATGTTCTTTTCATGGACCAAAGAACCCAGTAAAATATATATTTTATATCCCAACTATATCCTGTTTGCCACAGAACCTGTATTCCTCTGTTCCTCCATCGCCTTGTTTTTTATTGTACTGTAGCCCTCTTCAGTCTCTTAGGCTCTTTAGTCAGCTCTGGTGGTTGCAAAATAATATTTTGACAAAACTTTCCTGTTTCTAATCTTCTTCCTGTCTCTCCAAGTCCTCTCAGCACTCCCCATTATCCCTTTGTCAGGTGTGGAACCACTCCTCCCTGCTTGCCTCACATAGAAGCCCATCCATCAGCTTACATGTGTGAATGGTGCTTAGATGGCCAAAATGAACAGGCCTTGGTACTTGAGTTATGACCACTGTTACATGTGAGACCATGTACTGAAATCACCCCAATCAGCAGGGATGCAGAAATGAAAAAGGCTCTTCAAGATTCCTCCAGTGGCTTGATGATTAGGAGTAGATACCATGAGCCCCTGCTCAAGGCATTACCAACCTGAAGCACTCAAAGTTGCTGCTAGCTTGTTTAAAGCAGGTGACTGTCCAGACGTCACTGGGCTCACACACATGACCAACAGCCCCCAAGTTGTAAGGGCTTTTAAACCTTGAGGACTGCTCTAACTTAGGAGGCATCTGGATTATAAAGGCTGCTCTCCCTTGGCTCTTGCTATGGGCAATGTGAGGAAGAGACAGCTAGACCTCCTAAGGCAGTCAGAGCACCCAAGGTACTGCCATCCAGAGGCTGATTTCTGAGTGGGGGATTGGACTAGATAACCTCCAGAAGTCTCTTCCAACCTAAACTATTCTACGTTCATCTGGAGCAACTGCTTTCTCTCCATTGCTCACAGGGAGAGCAACAACAAATTAGCCACTGCCATGAGATACCTCAAAGAAGCCCATGTAAACGCTCCCATTTCCAATATGAACAGTACAAGCAAATGCAGACAAAAGATCAAGTAGAGAAAGACCAAAAAGCCAGCTAGAGGAAGAAAAGTCAGGCACGAAAAGTTGTGATCAGCCTCAGAAATACTAGTCCTGTGTGATTCAGGGAGACAAAGGCATTGGCTCTTTGTCTGGTGAGCAGCGAAATCGGCACATGCGAACTTCTCAGGGACAGCAAACCTTTGTACAGTCCAGCCACGAGGAGCTGCAGGGCTGCACACAGATGTCTAGATCTGACCTTAACATTTTCATGTTTGGACTCCCTTCAAGACGTGAAATTCAGCTGCTGACTACTCAAAAGCTCATTCAGTAAAAGTCAACAGTAAAAACCTGTAGCTGCTTGGCTTGACCACACTGACAACTCCAGAAAAGCAAAATGGCTATTTTGGAGATTATGGCTTCTGGAAGTAAGAGTTTCCTACCTAAATACTCCTGTTTTTCCTTGGCCAGCTGCAGTCCTTGGGCTTCCAGGCTCTCGATCATGGCTTCTCCCAGCTGGGCATTTTTCCAGGTCCTAGGGAGAGCAGACACAAAGCAGACAACGTAAGACACCTAAGGGTCCCATAGAGCAAGGCAGGGGACTCAGCCTAGCAATTTACCAAGGAATTCAAACTCACAGACTCTCATCAGTTGGGACAGTGATTCTCTAAATTTTTCTCTGCAAATGAATTGGAGAAATTTCCATGACATTAAGTAAATTTTTAAATTATTATTTTAAATAAAGAAGCTGTATGTCAACACCGCAAACCTATTCAAGCATTTTTTCTAATGTTTTGGTGATTTCTACAGTGACCTCAGTCTTAAGGGCTCTCCAGACCAAACCAACACACCCATAGCCTCCAACCGCAACAGGATGTACCTGGAACCCATTATATGGATCCCAACAGACTTTAGAAACAGATTTTAGGTTTTAACTAACTTCCCATCTGCCTAGTGACATTGTCATCTGCAGCCTTTCCGATATTTTGCTGCTATAGCCCCTCTTCTCCTTCAAACATTAACCGTTCATTGACTCCTTCCCACAGCCTCCTGTCTTCAGCCTCTTCTAGTATCCATCACCCATCCTGGAACCAATCCATCCCTCCCCTCTGCTAAGCCTGTAAGCCACTAGGAGTTAGTGTCTGGCCCTATACTGTGAGTTAAGCACCTCTCCCACTAAAAACAATGAAGAACCAGAGATAAAAGCCAGACAAGATGCTGGCAAGCAGGGAGGGTTAAAGGAAGCAGGCATATTCAAAGAGTACCTTGTGTTACTGTAGGCACATTGGCCAGAAGATCTTAAGGTCTCTTGAACACATTATGAAGCTAAGCTGCAAAAAAGGCCTGTGAAGCAGATGCCCAATACCAACTGAGTTGATGGACAGGCTAGGCTTCAATACAGTTATTAAATACCAAGGACAAGTACACACAAATCAAAAACAGAACCAGAAATTGAATTTGCTGTCCACTTCTATTCATGTTCCACTAGAAAAAAATATCTACACCTATAAAATACATACGTAAAATTCATCCCAATCTATTTATATAGTTCTTCTTACAGGAAGAGCAATTGCTGCTCGGAAATTCTGCCATCTTTGTTAAATCCTAAAGGAGCTTATTAATACCAAATACCTATAAGCCTTCCTGTACCAGGCCTCTTTGTGAGCCATTTGAAATTGCAGCTTTTCAGAAACCATTAAGTTGTCAACCTCTTATAAAACAATTTCAAGGCAGCTTGTACTTTGTCTCTTACAAAAGCCAGACAAATGTACTAAACACACATCACCCCAGGGACCAGGCAGCTCACAGCTCCAGCAGCCCAAGCACTGCCTTGTGCTCTTTTGCAGGCAGCTGGGTTTTTTTTTCAGCTAATAAGCATCTTGGATATTTCTAAAGCTCAGAGGAAAATTAGAACGCTAATTAAAAAGGTGGCATTTTGCCCACAGGTAGACATCATCTTGAGTGAGAACATGGGGGTGTGAAAGTATTTTTCTACTAACATTCTCTGATATAGGATGAATCTGATCCCAGAGAAGCCAGCAGCAAACAGCTCAAGTATGTGTGTGTGGGGGAACAACAGAGTTTATCTTATACTTGGAGGGTTTTAAAACAGCTATAGCCTTGAAGGCTGTTTATTAGATTCACTTTTTCAGTTCTCCATCCCTTCCCCAGCCTAACAAGATGTTTCCATCTGTAACTCAGAGGTTACTACACCCACTGCTGTGTAACTGGGAAGATGTACCCATATCACTGTGTAGCATTTAAGTTTTTATTCCTTTTATCTACTGGAACCAGGGCCAGTGTGCAGCCACAGCAGCAGGGAGGTACATGCTATGGCTTCAGCTGAGGGGTGAGCAAATGCTTTTTCTATTTTGTACTTCTTACCAAGTGAGTTTCATCAGAAAAAGCCACACTGCTTAAAGTGCTGGAAAGTACAGGTTCAAGAAGGCTCCTGGGACAAGTAGAAAGCACCCTTATAATATACTTCTGGGGGGGGGCGGGGGGGGG